TCCAGATAACAGTACATTGCGGCCAATGCCTTAATTTCAGTCTTGTGTGACCTTGAGCAGAGAATCCCATTGTGTCTACTCAGATTTATGACCTACATAACTATGAACCAATAAATGGGTAATTTTAGCTTCTAAGCTTCTTGGTAATTTGTTACATGGTAATAGAAAAAGTCCAGCATTGTTAATATAACAAGAATGGTTGGTGTGACTTTGATGTAACCTGGCAGCCAAGAAGAGTGGTCTGGAATGCACATGTATGAACAATGATGACTTCACTGTACTAGTCAGTGGGGGGTGATAGACGCTGTTGAGTGAACATGTGTACTGTGTGGCTGTCATATTCAAAATGAGTGAGTAAAGCAATGAATCTGCATCAGATTTTGCATTAAGTTTGAACATTCCTCTGCTATTTGGACGATTCAGAAGGCTTTTGGAGACAATACAATGAGTACAATGCAAATGAAAGTGTGGCACAAATGCTTCAAAGACAGTCAAGAATCTGTTGAAAGTGACCCACATTCTAGTAGGCCTGCAACTAGCAGAACACCTGAGAATGTTGACCTAAGTCACCCTACAACCCAGATTTGGCACCCTGCAATTTCTGGCTTTTTCCAAAACTAAAATAACCTTTGAAAAAGAAAAGTTTTCAGAACATCAATGAGATTCAGGAAACTACGACAGGGCAGCCAATGGGGATTCCAACAAAGGGTTCTGCAGAGTGTTTTGAACAGTGGAAGAGACTCTGAAAGCACTATGTGAGGTCCCAAGGTGACTATTTTGAAGGGGACCGAGGCGTCATTGTCCTATGTACAATGTTTCTTGTATCTTCTTCAATAAGTGTCTCTATTTTTCATATTAGGTGGTTAGATACTTTCTGGACAGACTTTATACACTGGGATTACCAGATATAAGAATAATCTGTCCCTAGAGAAGGGCTGACTTAAAGATAAAGTTCTTAGAAGAAGGCAGAGTCAAGAGATGGGAAGAGATGGTTTCTATAAAACAAGTCTTTTATCCCTGAATCCAGCCATGCATGGAGCCTGTTCCAGTCCTGAAGTTTCAGCTGTGTAAATCAACAAAATCCTATTATTATCAAAGCCAGGTAAATTGACTTCCAGTGACACAGGAAAAAAAAACAACTCAGATGCATGAAAAAAAGAATCCTCAATCCGTCTTGAACCAAGACCCAACCCCAACTGTATAGCCTAGGTTTGCATTTCAGTAGAAAAGTATAGTTGTCTATTCTATGGAAATAATACCATTTAGCACAACTTCTCGATCTATTGAATACTTATTAATATATGGACATGGGGGAATAACTAAAACCAAGGATTAAGATGGATGAGACACTGACATATCTGAAGTCTAGAATATTGTTCAATTATGATCTAAGAGACTCCCACAAATAAAGTTTCATTATATCTCACAGAGGCAGTCTGATAGCTCAGGTCAATGGCAGGACAGAGAATCAGTTTCCCAGAAACCAACTCCTGATAGTCTCAGAGACACCAAAACTCAGACGCAGGGTTCCAGTAAGACACCCAAGGTTAACAAGTGATACATTTACACAGTGGAATACTACACAGCAGAAAGAAAGAAAGAAAGAAAGAAAGAAAGAAAGAAAGAAAGAAAGAAAGAAAGAAAGAGAGAAAGAAAAGAAAGAAAGAAAGAAAGGAGCTCCTACCCTTCATGGCAGCATGGATGGAACTGGAGAGCATTATGCTACATGAAATAAGCCAAGTGGTGAAAGATAAATACCATGTAATCTCACCTATAAGTGGAACCTAATTAACAAAACAAATAAGAGAGCAAAATGGAAATGGAGACATGGAAATAAAGAACAAAATGACAATGACCTGAGGTGAGCAGGGAGGGAGATAATGGGGGAAAGAAGGAGAAGGGTTAAGTCAAGGAACATGTATGAAGGACCCATGGACAAAGCCAAAGAGGGTAGGTTCAAGGGTGGGAGATGGGAATGAGTGGGGAAAAGGTGTATGGTGGGATGAAAATGGAGACAACTGTACTTGAACAACAATAAAAAAATAGAAGTTACCCAAGGTCAAAAACTGGGAGCTTGAGACTGACAGAAGAAGCATCGAGATGGGCAGGAATCAAATCTATACACAGGGGGTGCCAAGTGAAGACAAAAAGTAAGTTTTTGAGTTCACCGGGAAAGTGTGGGGGTGCACATGGAGTCAGATGCTCATACGCAGACATGCCATACCAATTACCAATATTACTGGGTGTAGGAGACCTTGGGTTAAGTACCAGTTCCAGAACCAAACTACACTGAGTCTTGTCTATCTGTGACAGAGCAGGTGAAATTAAGAAGTTCAAAAAGTAGAGGTGAAATCCCAGAGTGAAATTTTGGGAAAATATAAAGCACACATATACCATTTTCAAATCATTATTTATGTACAACCTTAGGGTCCATAGGAAAGTATTTTTTGATCAGGCTTCCTGCGAGACTCAAGAAACTGTTTCTTTGGCTTTCGACTTACAAGTTGGAGTGGAAGAAAGAGAGCAGGTAGGGAACTGGTGTGTTCCTTTTAAAGAACTAAAGGAGGGGTGGAGGGTAGGTAGTTAAATAAAGGATTAAAAAACAATGAAGAAAGCTAACATTAAAAAAAAATTCTACCTCAGATTTCCATTTAGAGGTGGAAGGAATACTCCAGTAAAGAGCTGGCTGTATAAAATAAAAAAAAAAGAAAGCAATTCATAAAAAAATAGGCTCCAGGGTGGGAGGTGGGGATGAGTGGAGGGGGCGGGTGTGGTGGGGTAAAAATGGAGACAACTGTACTTGAATAACAATAAAAAAATTACAATCACAAACAACTGATCATAATAGTGAAAAATTAGAAACGCTATACAAGGGATTACAGCGAGAATACAAACTAAAAGGACATGCTGAATGAATACAAATCTCACAAACATAACAATGAGTAAAGGAAAACAGACACAAAAAGAGTACATATAGTCTGTATGTAAAAATCTCAGAAGTACGAAACAAACGTATGTCAGTCTGAAGACAAGTTATCCTCATAGGAGAGTGGTGAGTGGAAGGAGCTCCAACGGGTGTCTGGCATGGGGATAATGTTCTTTCTTGATCTACGTGCTGGTTACGTACTTCGTGAGAATTCAACCAATTGTACACTTAGAGTGTATGCACACCTACATATTTTCTATTCCTGTTAAGTACACCAAAGCAGAGCTTCCCACCTGGGTTTTATAGACCTCTGTTGGCTAAAGAACTATTCTTATGGGTTCTTCCATGAAAGAGTGGTTTCCGTAAGTTTGGGAAGGGATGGAAAAGACGCAGTTAAGTACATTCCTACTATACAGGACGTCGCTATCGATGAGTCTGAACACAGTCACCTTCCTACGTGGTTTTGGACCCACTCGTGCTGCCCTGTTCAAGATTTTCTAAGGTTTCCTCTGGCCCCCAAATTTTCGTCACAACAGACACGGCATGATAGGATGTGGACCTGCGCACACACTGTGCCCCGACTGGAGCAAACCCACTTTGAGCACACACTCACTATCATCAACCCGTCTGGGCCAGCATCTCCTCCTCTTCAGGGAAGAGCACGCATTTAAAACAAGGCACCGCCTGCTCTTTTGAATACTCACCTCCCTTCAGCGCTCTGGCACCCATGTAATCCCAGAGCAGCAAGCTGGCACATGTCATAATTTGCAAATACAATACAGTGGAGGAAGGCAGAAAAGCCTATTTTCAAATAGAGCTTTTTGCAACTACCAAGTAATCTCATGGGTTTCGAGCTCGCAAACCAGAGTTTCTCCCAAGTATCTGAAACCTATCACAAGTTGCCTCTTACTACCACCTCATTTTTCTACTCACTCACATCAACGCAAATTATCACTTGTTTAAAGCCAGCACTTCGCCTGTTCGCAGCCGGGCAAACATCTGCGTTCATTGATTCAGGCTCTTGTCTCTTTTCTCTTAAACTCTTTCCACTCTTGTTACCATGACTGAGATTGTGGAATTTGAAGGCCATCTCCATGTACAAAGAAATAACGAGCAGCATTCTGTGTTGTTATCTTGAAGACATTTTCTACGACTTCAGTTATTTAACTTGATTCAATCAGGCAGCTGGTTACCTTCAGCTGCTTGATCGAATTCATTTCTGCCAAGTTCTACAGTTAAAAAAAATCATCTAAAGTCAGTTCATTACCCTTTTTTTAATGGGACAAGAGAGAAGAGAGATGCATCTTCAAATGACAAATAAACGATTTGCCCGAAGCCCATCATTTCTCTTCCTGGAATCTGAACATCAACTCTTCATTCTTTTTGCTGTGATCCTAATCAGATATACCACCCACTGCTCCTTAATTACACAATTAGGACAAGAAAAACTAGACAGTATTCCAAGCCAATGTCTCAAGCCAAGGCATTCATAATAACGGAGATCCCAATTTTATTATATTGATTTCCAACAGAAGAATTCAATTATGCATTTCAAAGGAGATCTAGAACAAGCTTATTAACATTGTGATGCCCAGTTTGGTGGGAACCCAGCTGGATTGGAAAATACAGCTTCAATGTCCCAAAGCACACATAGACCATAGTGCAAACACCACCCTCCATCAGGCTCCAAGGACGAACAACAAGCATGATCATATTTGAGATGGCAAAAGCCATCAGGAAAAGGGGAGAGGTAAAGTCCAATTAAGAGGAAATTTTACAAATGTAACTGTCACAGTGATGGTTACACAATCCTGAAGCAAAATTGAAAAGAGCATAATGAAGTGACTGCTGAACTGGGTTCAAGTCCAAGACACAATGAGCAGCCTTGCAAATAATATTTTAAATATATTTGCTCCAGAGTGACGAAAAACATTACCCAAAGAACTAGAAGGAAAACAAGTTCACTTAAGAACCAAAATACTTAAAGTTTTAATCAGAGAGATTTCCTAAGACTGGAAAAAAGAGAAATAAATTTCACAATTGGCTAACTCATGTTCCTACAAGCAGCACCTACCTCATTTAAATCCTGCTGAGTTTCAAAGGCATCCTTCGGCAGAGTGGCAGCCCTCTGGTCTATTCTATAAAATACAAAGAAAAATTATTTCAATTTAAAAGAAACATTTCAACAACGCACATTTGAAGCTGGCGGTGACAGATCTGACTATACCCCTGTTAGAAAAATCCTCACTGGTACCCCACTGCCCATAGAACAGAGTGTAGGTTCCTTACAATGGTCTGCAACACATTACAGTGTTTGGATCCTGCTGGCCTTCCTGGCCCCACCTCCCATCACTCTCAACCTTGCTCCCTATACTCCAGTCTCTCTGGCCTTCTCTCTGCTTCTCCCACACGTAATGTTGGTCTCCTGTTCAAACTTTCACCCTTACTGTCCCAGACAGCTCATCCCTCAGATCTTCATAGAGCTGACTCGAGTTAGCATGTAAGCTCAGCTCCTCTATCATTTCCCAATGAGACGCTCCTGATCGTCCTAACTTCCTAGACATAGCCCTCCCCATCACTCTCTATCACACTTTAGATTTTATTCTCAGCATTTACCACTATCTGATATTATACCATTTATTTGCATCTCCATATTAAATGTAAGCTACAAGAAATCAGTGATTATATGCATTCTCTACATTGCAAAGTCCTCAGTGAAAATTCAATATTTTTTTAATTAAAAAGTTTTTTTGAATGAATGAATGTGATCTGATACAATTGTCATGTAATGACACCATTTGCTCACTGAAGACAGCTTGTGGAAATTTCATCCTTTCTCTCAACTGTTAGTTGTGTTACAATAAATGTTACAGCAATTGCTGGGTAACATGGTGATGCTGGCTTTTGCCACCACGTAGTTACCGATAGAAGAAAAAGAACTTAAAAATGGGCAAATCTACTCCAAATCAGTTTTATTTTAGTTTAGAAACACAAAACGAAGCTCCACAGTCGGCAGATGCTTAGCTCCAAATCCTGCTTTGCCAAATGCTGTGGTCCAATGGCACCTATTACATAACATCCAAGTTTTTCTGCAGCAGTTTTCAGGCTATTATATAATAAACGTGTTGAATTATAGTTATTAACTGTATAAAAAGGCCTGCTATCTTAATGAATAAAAGCTTTAGTTTGGTGTTAAGTCATTTATGAAAAGATTCACTGTGAGGCATAGTTATTTACAGTTATTATTCCACCTCAATTTGAATTCTGAAGAAATGTACGTGTCCTCTGAATGGTCAAAAAGATTAATAATTTCTAAAAGTCAAGATGCACATTTAGAAATACCACAGCCCCACCTCAAAATATTCTTAAGAATGCAGCATTCTTTCAGTCCACAGGCATTGCTAACTGTGCGAACAATTTATTTCTAGTGAGAAAGGTAAGGGTAAAAACCGTGAAGGTCTTGCTGATGCCTGCCATGTCTGCACAAGGCAGCGCCTTCCTCCTGAGTGTGATGGAAGGCTGAGGGTCCAAGGACCCGTGGAGAGACTACTCAAGAGAGAAAAGTAAAAAGAGAGGAAGAAGACCACTGGCACAGCTACCTCTGCCTCTCAGGTCCCCGAGCCACACGCACCATGATTTCAGGACTTCAGAAAATACCAAGTGGCTCTCTCCCAAAAAATGGGTGAACCCTCTTGGGGATAGGGATTACCCATCCCATCCGGTAATTTCTAAAACTCTGAATGGCTTATAATTTCTTTGTAACTTACAGTGGTTCTCAAATTGTGTTTCTAAGCAGTTATGGTAAGAGCAGAGAAATGGAAGAGTGTTGATCTTTAATGGAAAGAATATGTTTTCAAGCAGAAAATTTTCTAGGGCTTTGGTGCCAGCAGATGGTAAAACAAATACACAAGTAGAAAACATTAAGGGAAAGAAGCAGATATAGACTTAGTAAAAAATATAGTACGTATTATCGAGATGCACAGAAGGGCCTGCAAATAATATAATCACATGATCTTCCAGGAAAACTACTCATCATCTCCAGATAAACATCCAGATCAAGTTTGAGAATTGTGGTCTAAGCATCAAAGGCACTTTAATAATCATCTGAGTACCTCCTACGTGCCTGGTACACTGTCGGGGAGATAATGATCAATAAGCAGCATCTACGCCTTTAGAAGGCTTACAGTCTAGTGCTATCTTAAGCAGAGGACAAAACTAATTGCAACCCAGCCTTGATGCTATCTTGGTAAGTTGAGGATCAGCACACAAGAGCTGGTACCAGAATGGTGGAGAGGAATTGGGGAGGTAGAGACAGATAAGAGAGATGTTTTCAAGAATAAAAACAATCAGAAGGTCATGGGTGTGGATTCAAAGTGTGTCATGAAAGAGACAGAGTAATCAAAATTATTCCAAATATTGAGCCCTTGGGGCAAGAAAAATGACATGGTTTTTCTAACAGATACATAGAAATATGTAATTTTGGTTAGGAGAAGGAGGATCAGGTATAAAGAGAGGCAATTCATGAGTTTGTATTTAGATATTTGAAGCTTAAGGTGTGGCTGAAATAGCGAATTGAAAATGCTCACACAGGGCTCCCCCCAGGACAGGACGCTCTGCAGTGTGTTTGACAGAGAGCGTGGTAACCACGACAATGATATGCACCAGCCCTGGGTTCTGCATTACTTGTTCCTGTGTTGTGTGGCCAGAGCCTAGCATGGTGCCTGCTGCATGGTAAATGCTCAGTACGCATCTTTTGGATAGGTGGATGGATGAAAAAACAGAAGAAACCAGACCCAAGGATGACTTTTCATCTACCACTTACTAGGGATGTGTACGCATGGGCAAGATACTAACATCTCTAAACCTCAGTTTCCTCATCTGCAAAGTGAAGATGATAACAGCAACCACTCTTGGGATAATTCATCATGAGAAGGACTGTTCATAAATATGCTTATTACTACTGTTAGCTATAACACATACATTCTATAATCATTTTTTAAAATACCATAATAATAATTGTATACTTTACTAATAATAGCTGAAGCCTATGAATAAATAACTGAAAGACATAAAAGTTGGGACACCCTTATTCAGCAGCCACTAAGCAGATCTCTGAGACTGGCCAGTTATGGGACAGAAAAACGCAGAGCCATGAAGAAAATGGAGACACATCACTAAGGAGGTAAAAAGCTAAACAGAAGAGCACTCTAAATGCGGAAGAGAAAGAAATGATAAGAAAGAAGAGTATCAGTTGGCCAGCCCTTACCATTCCTGCTGGGACTGCCAGCCAGTTTACTTCTATTATGTTGTTTGACTCTCATGGTAAGTCTATGAGATTAGCCTTGTAACACCCATTTGACCTAATAGAGCAATTAGATAACTTCACATTCATTAAACACATTATTAAGCAGCAACTCTATGTCAGGTTTTATTGCAGTATTGGGGGACAAAACGGTGAATCAAAGTCTCTGCCCTCATGAGACTTACATTCTCGAAGAAGAAGAAGAAGCAACCTAAGGAAATAAACCAGTGGTGTATGGTGCACCAGGTGCTAACACACAGAAAATGAAAGGCAAGAACAGCATATGGGAGGACAGTCAGAGCTCACACTGCTAGAAAACCTCAGTCATCTGGACACGATGAGAATGAAAGTCAGGAAATAAGTGATTACTGGATTGCAAACGATGAAGGTCTTGGCAGAAGAGGAAAAAAACAAAGCTTCTCACTAGAGAAGTTTAGTGTCGAAAAGAAATGAACAGTAGCTAGGTATCTTAAATGCCCTTTTTAAAAATATCTTTAAAGATACTGCTTGAACAATTTACAAAGCTAGCTAGAAGCTGGCCTAAACACAAAAACTGGATCATACTCCCTCCAATTTTCTTTCTTCTCTTTGCCCAAAACAATAGAAAATAGATCAAGCACATCTTCTGCAGAGGGCAACAGTGAGAAGGGCACTTAGGGCTTTCTGTCAGCTTCTCTATGACCCTGGTCCCCAGCCCAGGTCCACGCCATGGGAAATGCAGCCTGGACTCCTCAGAGCCCAAGTCGGGCTCTCAGGACCAGTCAGAACGCAATGCCTTCAAAGGCTACCACCGTCACCACCAGTATTATCACTGCCACCATTATCATCCCCACCAACACCACCCCACCCAAACAAACCCCCATCACCACCCCATGGCTGTCCCACGGTGCCACCACAGTACTGCTGCCACCAAATGGCGGAATTCAAAATAAAAGCACTTCTCGGCAGAGAAACACAAAACTTAATTGTTTGCTGATATTAAAAGGGCTTCCTGTCAGATTGTGACTGCAAAATCATGGCTAGCTGACTGAAGAGCAACTTTTCTAAAAATATTTGGCGTTCCCACATTACTGGAACGCGAAGGCACGTGCTGTGCCAGCCTGCAGGGTCATCCTGCAGTGGCCTTCCCCCAGGGGGCGGACTGGAAGTCAAAATAGCGCAACGCACAAAGAATGAAGACTCTTTTCTTGGCCTAAGAATAGTCTCCAACCACAGATGTGATCATTCGTGAAGCAGTATTTTCGTTTAGGATTTTTGATTTATACCAACATTTCAGCTTTCCATAATTAAATGAGCAGCTGGGCACATTCCCTAAGTGAGCGAAGAGCTTTCCCATCTGCCCAGTTGCTCACGGAAGGCACACGAGAGTTATCCGACATCCTCCTCTCCCTCACACTCAGTCAACTTACTACCAAGCCCTTTAATTTTCCTTTTTAGTTTTTTATTGTATTTTTCCCATTACCATTTATCCCTCTTATAGCCTCCACCAGTAATCATCACACTGCTGTCCAAGTCCACGAGTCCTTTTTCCTTTTTGCTCAGTCCCTCCACCTCCCCCATTCTCCCTTAGCTGTCATCTTGCTCTCTATGAGTCTGTCCCCATTTTTCTTATTAGTTAGTTCAGTTTGCTCGTTAGACTCCACATATAAGTGAAATCACATGATTTTCGTCTTTTTCTGACTGGCTTATTTCACTTAGTGTAATATTCTCCAGGTCCATCCATACTGTTGCAAAGGGTAAAATTTTCTTCTTTTTTACAGCCAAGTAGAATTCCATTGTGTAAATGTCCCATAGTTGTTTTATCCACTCATCTACCGATGGACACTTGGGCTGCTT